TGGATATAATAAATGGTTGATTATGAGACTGAGAGAAGAAAATGTTTGTTCTGATCAGTAACTATTTGCACCCTTTGGATTTAATTTTTATCACAAGATGCTGCTATTTTATAATATTTCCCTGTTTTATTTTCAAAGTTGTGATAAAGACCAGTCAGATGAGTATGTAAAATGAAGCAAACAGAAGGGTGACAAAAAATAAAATATGGTAAATTTGAAAGGCAGCTTCTTATCCATATATTAATAATGCTGTGAGTTTGGGACTTCAGAAACAAGATAAACTAAATGGTGAGGTTCCAATCCAAATGCTCCAGAATATATGGACATGGTTACAATGAAGTGCAGAACTTGGATTTGAATACAAAAAGTTCTCAGTCTTTTTCTCAGGACAGTATTAGGTAACCACCTGCTTGGGGATCGTTCCCCTTCACGGTTCACATAAAAACACACGAAGGAATACCTGGAAACAGAGCCAGGCATCCAGCAGAGGTTCCAATCCAAATGCTCCAGAATATATGGACATGTTTACAATGAAGTGCAGAACTTGGATTTGAATACAAAAAGTTCTCAGTCTTTTTCTCAGGACAGTATTAGGTAACTACCTGCTTGGGGATCATTCTCCTTCACGGTTCACATAAAAACACACGAAGGAATACCTGGAAACAGAGCCAGGCATCCAGCATCCCATAAATATGGTGGCAGATTTCCCAAGAATTACACTCAGGGTTGCAGGAAACTAAGGATGGCATATGGCCTCAAAAAGAAAATCCACGAAGAGTTATCTGACCCTAACCTCGGCTACCAGAGCGGCAGAGAAGAGAAACAAAGACTCTGTGATAAAAAAAAAAAAAAACACATTAAAACAAAAACATGTACAACATTGATAAGCATTTTAAGCATTTTGCTCAAAGGGAGAAAAGAACAGGAAGGGCTGAAAGTCTCCACACAAACCAATCTTTTGATGAAACATATTTCTTTTTTTCTCTGGTCTCTTCTATGAGACTGTGTACAAAGTGCTTATTTATATTTTCTTTGTTTTCATCCCAAAGCTAGAAGATCAAAGAGTTAATAAAACCTCCTTGCTATAGAAGGTCATTACAAAACTAAATGCAGCAATTCAAAGTGGAAAATAGAATGAATGCCAAGGAGATGTTTAACGAAGTAACATTCTAGATGTATTATTTGAAGAACATTTGCAGACTCGTTTGATTGCTTTAGAGTGCACAGGGAACAATGCTTCTGCGCAGAGCTAATACTGACTGATGGCTGCGTTCTGCCAAACCATGGCCAGGCCACTTGTAATCACAAGTATATTTGATATAGAATTACCTAATATGGTGGAAATATTCATGAGTATTTTGCATAGCAAAATGGTATTAAAAACTTCCACCTCTTCCCCCCCCCCTTGGTCCTAATTAGAAGCCCAGACTTAGGAGATGAATCTGTCCATTTGAAAAATAATTTGAAGCACTATTTTTTCAAGAAGTGAGAAAGTTGAATGGCAAGATAAGGGATTGGTTTAATGATTCCCATTAGCTATTGAGATCCTTCTTATTTTCCTTGTTTCTTCTTTTTAGTTCTTCTTTAGTGCTGACATCCTTAGAATGGGAGCAAATACAAAAAATAGAGTGGTGGCCTTGGAAATCATCGATATTGCCATATTTATTTATTGAAAAGAGACAGGCTGGTACACTGATCTTCCATTTCAGTGTGACATGTCAGAGTTTGCCACTTACTATATGCTATGGTCTGAATGTTTGTGTTCCTACCAAATTCATATGTTGAAACCTAATCCCCAATGCAATAGTATTGAGAGGTAGGGTGTTTAAGAAATGATTAGGTCATTAGAGAGAGACCTCATACATGGCATGAGTGCCCTTACACCTATAAAAGAGGTCTGAGGAAGCTTGTTTGCCCCTTCCACCACATGAGTACATCTTCCATAGAAGGTGCCGTCTATGAAGCAGAGAGCAGCCCTCACCAGACACCAACTCTGCTGGTGCCTTGATCTCGAACTTCCCGGCCTCCAGAACTGTAAGAAATAAATGTCTGTTTTTTATAGATCACCCAGTCCAAGTATTTTTAGTATAGAAGCCCAAACAAAGACACTACAGCCTTGGAATCTCAGCATTCGGACCCAGTAGCAGTTTTCTTCCTTGAAAAGAAGCAGCAGAACAGCCTAGAACATCAAAAATGACCATCCTGGTAGAGCCGGGCTATATGGCAACAGAAAGGCCAAAGGATAGAGGGTACTTAGGGTCTCTGAGTGAGGTATAATTAAGCATTTTTTTTTCACTATTGCAAAACTTGGAAGATACAGGTCATTTTCACATTGAGGTAAAAGGGGTTTTTTCCTAGGGTAATTTGGGGGTGCATTGGAAAACTGGCAATAGCCAGGTATTCAGATAATGATTTTACTCAGAGGAAGAGTGCAATTAAATAACATAGAAATTTTAAAATAACTGAGGTTAGGTTTAAGCATTTAAACTTTTAAATTATTTGAGGCAAATAATTGACCTATTTCACTATAAAATGAATCTGTTTTGAAGTACTATTGAGTGTTGTGCAAATGCAAATAGTCTTTTTTTGTTCTTTTTGCTTCAGTGGTGCATGTTACCTTCCTGCAAGGCAACCAGTTTGCAGATCTGGCCAGAGGGAAAATTACTGAGAAACAAAATAAAAAAGGGTGTAAGGCAGCCCAGCTCTCTGAACCCTCAGAAAAGAGACTTCCCTCCTACTCATGAAAGAGGACGATTGTGCTCAGTACCACTTATCCAGTGCCAACAATCTGGTAAGCCCTCTATTCAATGCTATATCAGGGCTCCAGCAAGGTGACCTGGAGTTTGGGGCCGAGGTCAGGGAAAGGTCATTGCCTGAAAAATGGAACTAGTCAAAAGGAAAAAATCCTAGGAATGGGTGAGGTTACTCACCCACAGAAGTAACCCAATCTAAGAGATGGTATAGAAAAGCATTTTAAAAATGGAATCCAAAGTTCTAATCCTTTTAAATAATCCTTCTGGCCTTTGCAAACTGGTGCTAGGATGCTCTGAAGCGTGGCTGCAGGAATTAGTGTCTTGTCACTAAAATTTATATGACTTTATATATTCCTCTATTTTATCTCTGCTTTTTTAGGTTCCTCAATTCCCTCAATTTCCTCCTCCCTTCTTCCTCTTCTTCCACTGCCACCCCAACTTCAAAACTAAGGACCAGACAGACACTAGGTATGCAGACACCACTACCCTGTCCTTTGAAACCTACTCTGAACTAGCAGGTCAACTTTCCCCTCCTCAACATCTTCCTGGTACCTCCCTATAAAGCAGTGTGTCAAACACATGCCTACGTGATGACATTAGTTGGTCAGGGTAGGTCGTGGATGCCTGTTTTAAATAAGCCCTTTTAAGATTAAAGGAAACTTTATGCTTGGAATACTTATTTGTCCTTTCATATCACAGCTTTTCTTATCTCATGAGACATTTATGAGTGCTTACCAGACGCCTGTTATGAAGACAGGCTACAAGATAAACATGGGCTTGGAGTTACATATTTTCGGCTTCCAATATATATATGTGTGTGTGTGTGTGTGTATTTTACATATATATATGTATATATGGATAGCATTTCTTTCCCTGGATGGCAAAATGAAAACATTTCACAAATAAATCCACAAATAAAACTGTAGCTCTTTAAAGATGTGAAAAGACCAGGTGTACTTTGAAAAGGATTTTTATTTTAAGTAGATAACCAGAATCTAATATGCACAACTAAAATGTTTACTATTTATCTGATTATTTTCTAAGAAACACAAAAATCTATTTAATTACTTATCCTTGTGTAGGATAGTAGAGAAGGAGTTATGACTTCTTTTTGTTTTATATTTGTTGCCTAGAATTCATACAAGAAAATCAGTTTTATACAAAATAATTTTACAAAATTACTTTTGAGACAATTTCTATGGATCAATTTCAGTAGGTCATCTAATACAAGTCTTTTAATATGAGCTCCTTAGTCTTATTAGTGCATTATAAATTATCTTGCAAAAAATACATTAAAAACAGAATTAGAAAGTCTTTGGCTTAAGTAGCTCACAGCCTTAAGTTAAAATAGTATAATGCATGTTATACAGAGAGAAATGTAAATGTGGTCTAAAAGAACATTTGTGAGTCAGTTTTACATTAAACATTGAACAGGAAAGTTGACTTATCTTAAAATAAAGCAAGTCACTACATCACTCTGCTACAAGTAAATGTGTCTTTGTAAATAAGGATGAATTGACAGTGCTTGAAAGTACAGTTCATCAAAATCACAACAAGAAACCAAATATTATGAATGTGTAAGATTCCATGTTTATTTAATACCCATTACGTAGCCAGTTCACTGAAACCAGACTTTGTAAAGATAAATAACATTTTTGATGAACATAAACAATGTCATATAGTGAAATTAATTCTGGATTTTCACATGAATAGAGATGTCATTATGCAAGAGTTTCAACAATAAAGGCCTTGCCTTGAATTAGCATGGCATCTCTCAGTGCTTCAAGGCCTCTTGGACCTCCATCCAGCTCCAGAGGAGAGATTAACAGCTCTGTGTCAAGGAGGGCAGTGATCATCATGTCCACACTCAGCTTCTGGGGAACCTTCCCCCAGTATCTGCACTGGCCTCCAATGTGATTGGTATCATGGGCACCTTCTCAGAGGACATATCCAAGGCTCAAGATGGGTATTTCTAGGACAAAAAAAAATGTTTTAAAAATAAAAGCAATATGCAGATAATGCAAAAAGGCTCACTCTAGTGAAAACGACATGAATGTACATTTAATATCAACAATTTTGGGGTTTTTTTTTATAGTTGCTCATATTTATTAGAGTTTTCTTTGCACCAGGCATTGTGTTAAGCACTTTACATTCACTAGCACATAAAATGGACCCAGGAACTCTATAAAATAAGTACTACAATTATCTCTGTTGCAGAAGCCAAGAAACTTGAATGCAGTCTCACAGGCAGGAAGTGCCAGAAGCAGAGCACCCTTTGTGTCCCCAAATGCAAAGGTAAGACTGGTAGCATCCTATGCCCAACATTGTGCATGAGCTAACAGCTTCCTCAAAGCCATTCACAGCCCTTTAAAAACTTGAGCTTCTGAATTTCCAATGAGAAGAGAGCAGAACTGTGGTTACCATAGGCAGGAAAGAGGAAAGGGAAGAGGGGAGAGGCTGGCCATTGGACACAAAACAGCTAGACAGGAAAAATCAGTTAGTAGTGTACAGTTGAGCTAGGCATCTATCATTAATAATAATTTACTGTCTGTTACAAAATGGCTAGAAGAGAGGAGATCAAATGTCCTCATTACAAAGAAATGATTAAGTTTTTAATGATGAATATGCTAATTACACTGATTTGACCATCACACATTGTATACATGTACTGAAATTCAACTCTGTACTCCCACGAATATGTATAATCAATATATTTCAATTAAAAAAAACTGATTTCTAGATCCTAATGCTTTGGAGGTAGAAGGAAAGAAGTGAGTGGTCCCTTTAATGGGCCCAAGATATTGAAGCTCCCCTAATAAAAATAGATGAATAAATAAATAAATTTCCAGTTAGAATAATCGGACAGAAAAGAGTTTGGAACCATTTATTTTTTTAATTATTTAATGATTTATCAATCCCAATACTCATGTTTTCAAAGGTACAATCTTGTCCGCATTTATCATCCATTAAGTACAATGTTTGAGGATCTATAAAGCAATTGTGAACAAAGACAAACTCATATTGTGGATAATAACATAAAGTATACCAACCCCCCCCCCACAAAAATACCTTATAATTTAATGGTTGTTTACTATGAACTGTTCATTATGCTAAGCACCTTCATACATTATCACTAGTCCACCCCACAGCTCTGCAAAGTAGATGTTGCCAGTCCCATGTTACACAAAGGAAAACCAAGGGTCGGAGACCTGACCAGCACAAACTAGCAAGTGAATCCAAAGTGCCTTAGCCAGAGTTTGAATTCAGATCTCTCATATTCCATTATCTGAGTTCTTTGCATTCCACATACTGCAGCCCAGAGGACATGCAGATTATGAAGTTCTGCAAAAAAGAAAAAAGTCAAGGAAATCATTCATCTAGTTTAACAAAAAACAAGGTTTGGGGATCTCAATTATTCAGTTTCATAACATCAAAATTATTTATTCTTAATAAAATAAATAGTAATAATACTCAATATTACTAAAGCAACATATAAAGATCACATTTAATCTTTATACTTCTGTAAGGTAGATATTATTACCTCCTCATATGAATAGATATTGCAATTTAGAGAGATAAATGACTTTTCCAAGTAACAGACCTTGAACCCACACCCTAACCCTGTGGTCTAGTCCAGAATTCTTTCCATTGCACCAACACATTTCACTCGTCATGTTATTTTGCCTAAGTTTCAATGTAAAAAGGATAAAAGAAGGGATGAAAGCATGGACCAATCACTGTCTTTGGCCCTTCTTCTTTTCATTATCTAAATCACTCTCTGCTGAACAAGGACAGGATGTCTTTTGAGAAGTCATTCTGATAAAGTATGGATTCAATAAAGCAAATCTTCTCACTGAATATGCTTGGACAAGTATTAGAGTGATTTTCTAAAGGTCCTTAGTTCGTGCTTGGTTTTCAGTGTGTTCTTTTTCTCCTCTTCAATGTCTGTTTTCAGATGAGGAGTGAGGAAGCACTTTAACAGCTATAATAGCTCTGGGGTATCTAACAGGTACTAGAACTTACATCTAGGTCACTGGTTCAGATCCAAAGATACATGGTTCTCTCTTCTGCTAACCTGTGATTTCAAGCAGTAAAACCAAACTAATGTCTTTAAACTATCATGTCCTACCATAAAACCATTCCTCTCTACCTTGATTTAGAGGTACTGGTGGGGAATCAACTAGGATTGTTACCGCTGGGAACTGGCAGAGCAAGTTCACTTCATCATTATGCCTTTGGAAGCAGGACATCTGGGTATAAGCGACCAGGTGAGGTGGGATAGCATATATTTCCTTTAAAAAAAATTCTTTTTGAGTTTGGGAAAGGTGAGATTAGGGGGAGTGGCAGAAAGAACAGAAAGGAGTAGGTGACAAAGAAGAAAGATAACCCAAGTTTTGACTAACCTAAAAAGGACAGAAAGAATGACCAAATGGGTCAATAGCTGACATGTTAGAAAAAAAGAGTCAAATCCAAATGTATCAACTTTGAAGACTAGAGAACCCTGAATAATAAAGGTGAAGGTCAAAGCAGAAGGCAGTTAATTCAGTACTCAGTTATTCTTAATTAGCTTTTGGATTATCTTTAAATTATAAACATAGCTTCAGGTATTATGAAGAAAAGATGCCTGAGTCAGGAAGACCCAATATTTGTAGATAATATTCTGGTTCCTGGAGTGGACTAAGGATGTACTGGCCTCGTTCCATTTCATTTCACAGCCTTGTGCTTGAAAGGCTTCTTTCTGTTTGGTTGTACCATATATTGCATATTTCTCATTTTATTCCTTCTTGAACCTCAGTTTACTACTATGAAATTCCGTCATTTCATTTCACAGCCTTGTGCTTGAAAGGCTTCTTTCTGTTTGGTTGTACAATATATTGCATATTTCTCATTTTATTCCTTCTTGAACCTCAGTTTACTACTATGAAATTCCGTATTAGTAAGGCTAACCACTTTTATTTCATTGTTCTCTGTAACAAATATTTACCAATTTAATCTTTATGACAAACCTCTGAGATAGTGTTTATTATTATCTCCATTTTGCTGATGAAGATACTGTGCCACAGAAAGACCTGGCAACTTTCCCAAGGTCTTGTAGTTAAGCAGTGAAGTTAGGATTCAAACTCAGGCAGTCTTCTCCAAGTCCTTGCTCCTAATTACTACATAATACTCCTTTCTTAGATATTTAATGCAATTAAAATATTTTAGTCTTCTAAGAATAAAACTTCAGTACAAGCAAAGTTATAGTTATGTTTCCAAGTATTTAATGAGTCTATCACTGACCTGAAATACATTTTTTGTATTATAATACTGTGCTTTAATTACTAATCCATTTAGATATGTAAATTATTTATTTTTTAGAAATAAAAGATGATAATATTCTTTTATCTACATAATGATAATTATTACATTAACATAAACATTTCATGAAGAACTCAAGAACTGCAATAATTTGAAAGGTTTTGTTCAAAAAGCTCAGCTAGAACTAAATGGGGCACCTCTTTGAGGTATATCTAGTTTACAAATGACAAAAGACTCCTATATTCCTCCCACCGTTTCTGGGAACTGCAAGCATTGGTTGTATTAATGAAAAAGCATTGGTTGTATTAATGAAAATGCTAGTTCAGTTGATAGCATTTCAAAGAGGGAAGCAGAGGCTGTACTTTGGAGCTGAACATAAGCATAATTGGAAAAGTGCTAGTTCAGTTGATGGCATTTCAAAGAGGGAAGCAGAGGCTGTACTTTGGAGCTGAACATAAGCATAATTGGAAAAGGTGATGATTAACTATAACATATTGACACAAACATTTGAAATAATGGCTCATGAGTCCTGTAGAATATTTTTCCCCTTTTAGCAGAATCATGTACAATACCCTATTGGTTCATTTCTTGCTGTCTTATTCATGCTATGGATCTCCTGGCTAGATAGGAAATCTAGTCCATATCACCACCATATTTCAAATTAAACTCGCCTCTCTTGCTGGATGATTGGATGAGATAAAATCTAAGGATTTCTCAATATGTTTCATTATATTTTGAAATCAGAATTTCAACAAGTGGTAATTAGAATGACAAATGCCTACACTTTATGGCACGATGGGGAAGGATGTACATGGCAGTGTGTGTGTGTGGTTTATACATTTGAACAACCAAAGACTATTGTAGTGATGACAAAAGTTGGGCAATAGAGACTAGTAAATATGCTCTCTGGAAAAAAAATGAAAAGTTAAAATGAGGTGGACTTTCTATTGCATATTTATTTACCAGTCAAAGTCACAGAAAACACAAATTCATTTCAGGCTTCTTGAGAAGTGATCCAAAAAATGATTTGGCATCTCTTACAAAGTGTGTATATATGGCTGGAATGTTAAATACTATATATGAAAAAAAGCAATTTTCTACACCTTCCAAAAAAAGACCTGTTCTGACTGTTTTAGTCTGCTTCAGGTACCATAACAAAATACCGTAGACTGGGTGGCTTAAAAAACAGAAATTTATTTTCTCATAGTTCTGAAGGCTGGGAAGTCAAAGATCAAGGTGCTGGCTGATTCAGTTCCTGCTCAGGGCTCTCTTCCTGGCTCGCAGACTGTCACCTTCTTACTATGTTCTCAGCAAGTGAATGTGGAAGGAAAGATGCAGAGTTGAGAGATCTTTCTTCCTTTTCCTATAAGACCACTAATTCCATCATGAGGACCCTACCCTCATGACCTAAGCTAACCCTAATTACCTCCAAAAGTCCACATCTCCAAATACCACAACAATGGGTGTTAGGGCTTCAACTTATGATTTTTGGGGGGACACAAAATTCAGACAATAGCACTGACCAAAAATCATTTCCAGGCAATTCAATGACTAAAGTGAGAACACATTAGCCTGAGTCTTTTCTGAAATTTTCCTGTAGTTGCTCATCTCAAGTTTCCTTCTCTGGCCTTCCTAGAAACATAAACATTCCAGCTGTATATACCAAGAAAACACCAACATAAAGTGCAATAGAGAAGTGGTTCTCAAAACATGATGCAAAAACTCCTAGAGTTCCATAAAAATTCTTCATGTAGCCCATGAATGGTCTCTGTATTATGTAAAATAATTGATTTAATAATTTACTTGTGACATATAGTAAAATTAGATGTTAGCTCATTATAGCCTCATCAAAAAGAGGACTAATTCTGAAGAATTACTTTGATGGGTACAGCTGGAACTGGAAGGGTATGTGGTGAATTCTTTTGCCTCATCCAAGTGGCCTGAGAATTGAAATATTTTTCAAGTCATGTTCTTGAACATCTATTTTCATGGCATTCTGACATTTCCAGACTACTGCACATGTGATGGTTTACTGATCCTGCATACTATAAGAAAAAAGTTTGCATATTCTAAAGAGGTTTTGGATGACTATATAGGGTGCAATTTCCACTGGATTAATTTCTCTTAATCTTAAGCCTTAACTCTTTCCATTGCTATAGTACTTCCTGAAAGTGAGTATGTTTCATGAAGTCTTCAGACTGCCTTTTGGCATAGTAACATATGTGTTCTTCATAGTCTCACAATGGAAGCATCTTAAGGGCAGGGATTATAATCCTTTCCTTCTTTCCTTCTTTCCAATCCCTAGCACCTAAAACTTTGTTCCGTAGAAGTCTGTTTGAATGACTGCATGGAAATACCTAAAGTGGATGATTTGCTGAGTAGCAATACCTGATCACCTCTGTGTAAAATTACTATTTTAAGGAAAGTAAAAAAAAAAAAAAAAAAACATAAACCAACTGCTTTTAAAAATGTATAATGACCTCATGCCATGCCAAAATGTCTCCTGATATAAAGGGCCCTTCTGAGACAACCCCACTACCCTGCATAATCACTTGCAAAAGAATACTGGCCTCCACTTTCATATCATCACATCCCTGCTTCACATATATGATTCCATGGAATTATGCTATCAATACCAAGGTTTAGACCCACTAACCTTAGGCTTCCCTGACCAATTCCATGAAGTTTTTTTTTTCTTTTTCAACAGCATCTACATTACAGTGCTCGAACATCTCACAGCATGCTCTTTCGTGAGTACCTCTGTTTTGGAAGAAATGACCAATCTTTCACAATCGGGTCTCCTAATGTCAGCTCACTTCTTTACTGGAAACTTTCTGGCCCAGCAGATATTTAGGATGAGAAATGCTATGAAAAGACTACTTAAATCTTATCACTGAAGCAATTAAACAGTGCATCAGATTGAAATAATATCACTATCATAACAAACTAGAATTCTTAAAGGATGAGAGAGAAAATTTTTTGATAAACTTTGGATTTAAATTTATGTTTTCATAGAACTCAAGGACTAGTTGTCATTCATCTTGAAATACTTTGAGACATTAACCTTCTGAGCTTAAAACCACCAATTTTTCTACTTCTGTACTTCTGTATAATTGTTTTCCCTGTGTGAGATGTTCTTCTCTCCACTTGACAAACAGCAACCCAGGCTTCTGGGACCATATCTAAT